TAAACTTGCTATGCAAGTAACTTTACATGTAACATACATGGGTCTGTGAAGTTATACTTCAATCCAACAGATGTTTTTATTGAGGTCATTTATTGTTCAGGCTCTCACATACATGTAAATGTATGAGCCTACCTTTCACAGAAGAATGGATATTTCACATTGTGTGTAAGATAAATTTGTACAACATTCCTATCAAGATGACTGCAAGATATTATAAGCACAACGTTCTCAAAGGCTCCGCAAAACAAAATGCTCTGCAGAATAAAAAAATGAAATCTGGATTTGCAACCAATTACAAACATACCATACCTGCCCGGAGAGCACGGAATTTCCTTGTGCTGAACTGGTCACGTAGAGCCACAATCATGCAGACCAGACCAAGAATCACAATCAGGGATATGTAGACATAGCGCAGAGTGCTTTGGCAATAGAAGCCAAAATATAGCCATGGAATGAAGGAACCCACTATCAGCAGAGAGATCCCTGAATAATCAAGTCTACACAAATACCAAAAATAGTTCACAATTCAAATGCGTGCCAGCAACATGGGCATTCATATATACGGGTCATTCCATGAAGTTTGGGCACAGTTTGTGACAGCGTCCCTTGTTACATTGGTAACATTTATTGCCCGTTATTTTCACATTACAACAGATTAAGTCATTATTATTTGGCAAAGATGAAGCACACCACTACAAGAACCTAGCAAAATTTAGAACAATGTCAATTTAGAATCCACATGCAGGGAAAAAGATGTTTATTTTCACTGATGTAACAAGGGAAGCAGTCACAAACTGTGCCTGAACTTCGTGGAATGACCCATATCCATTACACAGGTTCCCAGCCCTATCTCGGTAGGCCCTACTTTGTCAGTCTCCAAAACTATCAGTGTCTTAGTTTAGTGACATTATTCAGAGGCAAGAGAACCACATCCAAATTCTACACATAATACTATACACATATTGCCATGCAACCAGGGGTCACACCACAAGAACAATGTTTTAAAAAATAAGCATGTTCAATGAAGAACTATCAATAAACCATGGTTTGACTAACTCTGATTTGAAAGCACACTAATCAGCAATAATTAGATAGGTCTGCTTGAGTACTTGGGGCCAGTTTATGCCCCTGTGGGTTGGTTGCATCACTGGTTATCAGAAAGCCAGGAATGTGAGCTGCTGTGATGGGGATTGGTTATCACTCAATTGTTCAATTACCGATGTTTGCCTTTTATTTTAACATTAACCACTGGCCAGCAAATGGTCTTTGACCAAACTTGCTCAATGCTCAAGTGGCAGACAGCAGCTGGACAAAGTACTGCACATGTAGGAAATAGTACATGTCAAAAATCCCATTTAATCACGTGGTATCCAGTAGTCATAGATGTACCGGTAGTCCGTTTCCTTGTCAATGGGCTGTATACCAGTGAATAAGCCCCAAAAATGATCAACCAGTTGTAAAAACATATACCAGTATACATGCACTGGTAAATAAAACTGACTAGAACATCAAAATAAACCTGTGGATCACCTCCTGGTACATGTACATATATCATTCATTCCCACTGATGTTAAAACAAACACATATTCAAGGAACTTGAAAAATTTATGTTCATTAAGAAACAAACCTTTATGTAAACACTTACTTGCTGAATAGTAGTGATGTTTTAGAAGAGTGGCAATAGACAGTATGGAACACCCAGGAGAAGAACAAGCAAAGGACAGCGCCAGTGAAGAAGGCCATGTAAACAACAATCTTCTCCCATTTCTCTTGGTCATTGATGGAAGCCACCAGGAAATAGATCATCAGGATAACAAATGCAATAAATCCTGGGAGTATAAAACAAAGAACACAGAATTCAAGTTAGGCAGGTTTGATTAATGATGATAGGGGGCTAAGAGTAGATTGTGAATCCATTTCAACAGACCTTCAATGAGAATATGTTTCTTGAACCCAGTTGAGTTACAGTGTACATGTACAAAACAAGGACATGACAAGGACTTCCTGCTTTGAATAAACATGGACTAGCAGGTAAAGAAACAGACTACAGATCATTTACAAATACAATGTACATGCATGAGTACATGTACATGTAACCTTGAAAACACCACTTGAACAGAGGCTAACCTGTGGCCCTGCTATATGAAGTGTCGACTGTCGATGGATGTACATTGTACATGTACCAAGTACTAACTCACACAGCAACAAAGACACACAATGCATTCTTGGATGGGACTTAACATCTTAAGATGCAAGACCTCGACTGCTAGGGTGTTCAACTCTATTATTCATTTGACATTTTTATTTCAAAAGGTACCGCTGACCAATTACATGTACATGTACCATAATTTTCGGAATATCAGCCACCCGGTGTATAAGCCACTGCATTCAAAAATTGGCAAATTAAGATTTAAAGGTGGCGTTTAAGTCGCACAGGTGCATAATCCGCACCGCAGCACTGACAATCCAACCACGAAGGTCATCGTGCTGCATGCTGAAGTGCCAATACAGCTTGTACAGTACGTCAACTACATGTACACATGCAATCCTCATAAAAGTCATTTACCTGTTGCACACATAACTGTGCATGTGACATATTAACTTCTCTACTCTGTTGTGTCATCATGGACCTAGCCTAAATACAACCACACAGAACGTTGGCATTACCGGGCACAGTCCACTTACATGCAGCTAACTTTTACATGTACCGGTATGTAGTCAACTTTACCTCTTGAGGAAAGACTAGCACAGGGGGTTACAGCAATTAATGCATTGACACCAACCCCTATAGAGCGCACGTGCGTGTGTGTTGTTTGATTCCGTTGCGTCGTCAAATGTACATGTACAGTATGTATACTCTACGTTTACCATATCGTGTGTTTACATGGTTGAGTTTTTGACAGCTAGCTAGGTACATGTACATGTAGCTTGCAATGAGGTAACCTTGCAGGGTAACATACAGTTACTATGTTCTACTCTCTCTTTTTTTCCCCATAAGCTAATGGTGCATGTAACTTTTCAGAAGTGTACGTAACCTTTTCAATTGCATGCACTCCTGGTGCAGGTAGAATATTTTTTCTAATTCAAAGCCGGGTTGCAGTTGGTATTCTCTATTGACATCAGTCTGCAAACTTCCACCCTTATTTGCATAATCATAAATATGCATTGCCACCCTAAGGAAACATAATTCACTGACAACATCTAAAATAGCAATGATTGATTGGACATTTCATATTTTATATGTACAAAATTTTTAAAAGATTATGCAGAACCACTACCGATGACATCTGTTGCACTATCCAGGACATTTTGGTGCAAAAAGGTGTAAAGGTGTACAGTAGGATATAAAGTCCTGCTCTCACGTTTATCAGTAGATGGCGTAAGTTAAGGTGGAAATTAAAATGAACAAATATTGATGTATCAATAATATCAATATAAAAAACTGATATTTCAATATCAGCCAAGATACAATATCGACGATGCCTACATTCCATATATCATAAATATATATTTACATGTACATGCATGTTCATGTTTTCCGGCGTGTAAATGTAAATGTAAAATGTACATGTACATGTAGGGTTTTTTGGGGGGGCGGAGGCTTCTTCACATACATGTAGTTTCTTTTGTAATTTGCCTACAGGATGAAACTTATGTACCCAGAAAAGATCAAACCAGAAGAAACCACATGGCGTCATCAAGGTGAAACATACTGTTTAATCATAGTTCATTTGAATAGCTTGTTCCTTGAACTGTGACTGGACAGTGACTGGATGACTTACGTTTATGACTTAACTGCATTGGCCTTGTCAGGACTTGATGATGGTTGAACGATTTGACTTGTATAATCTCCTATTTGACAAACTGGTCTGTTTTCTAAATATGTCTCAATACCAGCATAATTCCATGACTGAAAACAAAATCATACATGTAGATGCAAACACTATGACAATGAAAACATATGTGTACAATGTCCATGTACATGTTAGCTGGTTATCATGGTTATGCTATGACAATTTCTGCATGTATGTGTGTACACCTCCGTATACATGTACACATGTACAAACCACATGTATTCTGGTATTCTTGCTCAGTGCTGTGGTTGTGCCCCTATAATACAACAAATACTCAAGGAACATGTAAGCTGTATTGATTCCATGTGCTTCAACAACTTTAGAGTAAAAGCATTTGTTTTTTGTAAAAAAACAACTGCTGCCATGGTTGCCCACGAATTCAGAAACAAGCTACATGTACTTGTATCTTCACATGAGGAAATCAGAACCTTGAATCTCACCAATCAGATGTGTCCAAATGTTCCCCGTCTCTGTATGGATTCTGAAGATGGAGCCAAAACAACTTTTGAAGGATGGGATCTGGGGGCGGTGGCCAAAGTGAAGAAAGTCATTGTCCTTGAGCCAATCAGGAAGAAGGTGATGATGGGTCACACGCCAGCGCCAGGCTGCTTCTTTCACTTTGCGTACAAAGCGTTCAGCTTGCTCTGCTGCAGTATGGGAGAAGCTTGGACCACCTGAATCAATGTCTGTCTCTTCCTCAACATGCTGCTTCTGCTGCTAACAAATTACATATAGGTACATGCACATATAACTTCAAGACATTTCGGTTATCCTCTTAAGAACTTTGAAAGGCATTTGTGACATCAACCCCAGCTCTTGGAACAGAATAAATTTTGGGTTCCATTAATCCTAGTAACTCTCATCGCCCCTTGCAATCCTTGAACATTTCCCAATTTCCATCCAGCAAGAAAACATGACATACACTATACTTTTGTTTTTACCCACTTCGCGGCGGGGCATTTATGAATGTTGATGATGCTGGGACGGGATAAGTTTCTGTTTTTTCTGTTTTCCAAATTGTTTAAAATTCATATCTTCATTTACTGGACACTTACACCCACACGAAGGTGTTTTCTACTCTGTTTTCTACTCTAATCTGTCTAACAGACAGCATCTATTGACACTGGAATATTTCAGTCAGGCCTGCAGCCTTGTAAAAAGAGCACAGAAAAAATGTTGGTAATGCCCAGCAGCCTGGTCTTTTGTCACGAGTACGGTCTTTTGTCACAAGGCCCAGTTCCCTTTGTCCGATTTCAGAGACCCAGGCCACGCGTATAAAAAATATGTGTCCGGTACACCGGCAACACCAGCGGTAAGTGGTTAAAGGTTGTTCACACCCCATGAACCTTCCTTAATTCTGCAAACTCTTCCACACTGCATTGATTTGAAACTGAATTAATCACAGCTCATACTTAAGATACATAGTGTACATTTTTAGCTATCACTCCACATTCTTTCATACGACACTGGTCACAATTTACATTTTTCAGTTAGCAATGCTGTACCCACAATAGAAATTAACATTTTGCCATCCCACATCAAATGTTCATGTTTGTAAAATTAATGGCAGGCAGTGAACAACAAATGCATAAGTTATCAAAGAAACTTTAAATTTATGAATGATGGTTTTTAAGGATTGAAGGTACTGCAATTTGTCAAAATTAGCAGATTTCGGGCTTTGTGATTTACACGTGTACTTTGTGTATCATTCCACAAACTTGTTTCATTTTTTGAGATCACTGCTGTGAGAAAAATTGAGAAAAGCACTGTTCATTATTTACCCTAGAAGCCAAGCTCGTGTAATTTGTCGAGCAAAAATCCATGGGCCACAGGATGCTCCTGAGTGCCTCTACAGTGCACAGGTGAGGTCAATCTGCAGACCGACTATGTGCGTCGTTTTTCCATGACTTTGCATAATACCAGTGGTTGGCAAGTTTACCTTATAGTCTGTATTTCCTCTTCAACAATGCAGTGTGGAGAATTTGTTGAATCAATAACATTCCGTCAGGCAGTGAAGTGACTGTTGTCACCAATCACTGCGTGACCACATTTTCATGTACACGTGCTGGTGCACATCGACGACACAGTCATTATTCGCTCTCCACACGTACATGTACGTACATGTACAGTAAGTCGGTCAACAACCGTCCACACACCATGAGTGCCCATCATAAACACTTTATAAAATAAACAAATCCTTGCATTTTGGGCATGAGAGTTACTGTTGTTGGAAAACAGAAAGCTCCGTATCTCGAAATTGGAGATTTTGTTCGAGAAAACCAGGCTTCGGTTCAAGAACGACCATTGGACCATATCGTTATCTTAAGGGGTGATAACAAAATGATATACAGTACTCACTTGAGGTAAACTTTAAACAGTCCAAATTCTCCTTTAGACTGTAAGTTACTGGTACAGTTATGTGTACATGTGTATTTTGTTAATTAATGATTTTAGGCTTACCGAAAGCGTGTTGGCAGTTTGTACATTACCCGTTAACATACACATGTACATGTAGATTCTTCAGCTCAACGCTTCACACAGATTTTCGTTGCGCCCATTAATGGTTGCGGTATTTGAACAAACTGTATTTTCCAAAGATCGCCCGGATGGACAATCTTTGGATAAAATGTGAAATTTCTCTTTTCTCAGAAATGACAGTATTCCTGGCGGTAAGAATTCACCGACTGTCTGAAACTGCCATGCACTTACTTTACAGTAAGACATTTCAGGATAATTTAACAGTGCCATTGTTGAGATCACGAAAATCTTCCACCCACTGCCTTTGAATAAAAGTTTTACACTCAATATAATAGCTCAAACACCGTCCATACAATTCTTTCAAATGTTTTGCATGAATACTACAAAGTAAACATGGTGTGTACATGAAGATACCTGTTCCTGTGCATCAGCATTCTCTTGAGGAACAACCTCTTCTATTTCTGCAGGCTCATCTGAGGAAACCACATCAATTTCAAGCTCAGTTGGAATGGCAGCCGTCTCTTCAGGATTCAAGCTCTTCTCACAGTCACTCTCATCTGATGAGTCCGACGACTCCTCATCTGGGACAGACACCACACATTCCTCTTCGGTGGCCAGTGGCACATGTGACAACATGGTCTTAGCTTTGGCTTTTGCAGATCGAGTGACTGGTCTTGTTGTGGTGCTTGTGGCAACTCTTGAAACTGGTTTGGAATTCCCTACGGCTCGTTTCCGAAGCCAGTAGCTTCCATTCCTATTGCTGCGATTCATGCAAATTGGCTGTGTCCCATCAATGCATGTGGTTCAATTGTCTGAATTATTCATCTAAACAAGTAAGCAGAAAATTGTTGACTTGAAATAGATTCATGTACTATGTAAATATAATAAAATGCCTCACTAACATGACTAAACATTAATAGACTTGTATATTGTGCCCTAATCCAGTTTCATGTTAGTCCTTTTTTTTAACATCAGAATGAAACTGATACAAAATAAATCATACATCTACATGTAACTTCACCATTTGTGACCAAGTGAGTGGGTGGCCATGATATATTTGCACATATCTAATGACTTGCAGACCCACCCCCAGAACTCTAGGGTCAGACATCTGCCCTGCTCCCACGGGCATCAGACCCCACGGTTCTGGGGGTATCGCAGACCCAAGTTAAAGACCTCATTGCAGGCATTTTGGAGGTTTTTCAAAACGTCACAAGAATCCTTTTCAACTTGAAGGACCTCGCGCTACATATTACTACTTCTGGCAAGGTTACCTCCATTGTTACTCATACAGAGAACAATTAAGCCATGCATTCACAGTGCCTCAGCACTGTATGGTACATTGTCTTATCTATTGTATCTTATGGCTTCAGAGAACAATAAGGTCACATCCTCTTACAAGCGACAGGGCTGAATACTACATTTTACAACTAGTAATTTGTAGCATTATGTAGGGTTAGGGTTTAGGAAAAAAGTCCAAAACTGAACTAGTACATGTACATGCATGACATGTACAGTGTAGGCCCTAGGTCTGAATTCCATCACATGAAGAGGAATGCACCATGTCAATGTATGCACAGAATCACCAGATAAAATTTGCCACGGTATGTTGGCAAGATACAGTACATGTAGGCCTATTCGCCTTGGCTAACTAGGCCGATAAATTATACAAAGGCAAAGTTTCCCTACAGTGACCCAGCACTGTAGCAGTGCTTGGGAACCACTCAGTCACGTCAGTAGCACGTATTATTAATATTACATTAGCCATCTGGAAGCAACATTTCCAAAAAAGTCAAATTCAGTAGCGAAAATGTTGTGGTATTCACTGAGAAAACACGGGGCCGTGTCAAACACATAGGCCTAGTCCTACTACTAAGTCATGTAAGTAGTAGTACATGATGTAGGCCACTGTTCCGCCCCAACTACAACATCAGTCCCAACTATAGTTGGGCCCTTCCCAACTACAGCATAGAGGTCCAGTGTACAAGTGGCCAGCATGTGCCAAAGTCATATTGTTTATGTCATGTCATAGACAGATAGATGAAGTGCCATATTTTAGATCATTGTGTCAAGTGTGAGATGCATAAACTTGGTTAAGGTTGAAAAATGTTCTACAAAAATTGGTAGACAACAATGGTTGGGCCAGCCCAACTGCAGCACTACAGTTGGGATTGTCCCAGCTATAGTTAGGACAAACGCTACAGTTGGGGCGTAATAACACTACTCGTACTAGACCTACACGTAGTAAAAAGTAGTACAGTCAGTAGGCCTACAAATTACAATCTACGTTATGTACATGTACACTTGCAGGACCACTGATGACACGGGTGAAGAAAGAAAAGCTTCATGACCAAAAATACATTGCTTCTTCCGTAGGAAAATTTATAAAGACTAAGACAGTAAGATTAGAATACTTCGTGCCATTCCGCAATGATAGCTTTTAAACTTTGGTTCGGCGACAAAATCCGAAAATAAATGCTATTTTTTTACCGGCTTCACTGTACTGCTTGATGTTATCTGAGTCTGACTTCATTTCATCATTTCAATGAATATTTGTACAGTGCATGTACATCCGGTGCGGCCGGCTGACTGTACTAAGCCATAGCTGGTACTACGCAGCGTTCCTATATGTGTATTGTACGCGCGGTGCAACCTCGTCCCGTGGGCACGATCTTGCCACACCACGTAGGTACCCACCGCGCCTGCCGCGTACGCAGCCCATGGAGTCGAGGTTTGGTACAGTGTCACGTCACGTTTGCATCCAGTACATCGTACATGTATTAACAGCACGACACGTAGTAACAATAACGAGCGTAGCTATTGGGCCGGGGACAGCGATTATTCATTGCGTCCAAAAGACTTGGCTGCGGCTGGCAATCACATAAGTAGAAGTCTTATTCACAGCCGTAGCCAATATTTTTGAGCGCTATTAAAATAATTCAGAAAACGTCATTCCATCGTTGCGTCATATCTAACTGTCTGTCAGGAGAGGTGACGCTGGGCAGGCATATTATCCCATATCCGAACATATCCGATACATTTCTCTTGTCTTGCATATGTTTTCTCTGTCCTTTGTGATTTTTACAGGATGTGAGATGATTACCCAAGCGACCTACGCCGTGATCAGACGCTGACTATACAGTATGCTGTTTGTGGCACGCAGGGCACCAGTCTGTGAGTGCCATTGATCTGCAACATACGCACGAACAACTTGGAACCATGGGAAAGTTCGACAAAACCACTAGTTAACTAGTGACAAGAATATAAAATCAGTGCTCTGAAACATGTAATTTCCGAGCTTTCGGTAACTGAGTTCTTGAGGGCAAGCAGATTTTTTGCGTTCATTAAGAACGGAATCTTCAGTTCTTTATGAACGCAGAAAAATCCACATTTATTCCCCCGGATGCAGCGTCCCAAGTTCGAAAATGACACGCTGCTCCGGTTCCTTACGCTGCACATCGGATGACGCTATCCGCAGGATGCAGACGCTATACGTCACCTTAAGTAAGTAGAGGCGCGCATGTACAGTTTACCACAAAGAAGAATGCAGTAAACCGCATTACTGGTAATGCATGCACACTGCGCACATGTTCCGCGAAGCGGTCACCAAGGCGACGCTAGGTCTATATTTATGGGGTGGGGTGGGGTGGGATGGTATTCTATTCTATTCTTGTCAATATTCTGATCACGGTGCTACGCAGCCCTTCCATATTATTTTCTAGTTAACTCGTGGTTAGTTTGTGACGTACCTAGCGCAATGGAGGTGCGAACGACCGTCGTCAACCGTTGTCGGGTCATTACAGGTCGAATATGAGAAAAGGTGGCCGCAGGAAGGGCAACATAGCAAAAATAAAAGTGAAAATGGTCGTTTACTAGTGACGTACCGTTTTCCCAGAATTTTGCTCATAAAACGATTTATGGCAACCAACGATGCGACCAGCCTAGGCTGGTCGCGAATAGTTGACTAAATTAGTCCAACCATCTTCGACTAGCGTTCGATAAGAGTTAGTCGCGCACACGTGTTGGTTCACGCACTCGTTTTGTTGCTAATGCTTTTTAAACACATAACTGAGCGTGACGTATTCACTTCTGTACTCTATCCGGTTCGTATTCCTCACAAAGGCAGACACGCCACGATCTGCAGGCTCCCATTGGACGATCGCTGAAGTTGCGCGTTAACTTCTGGTTCCAAGTGACGTCACACTTACGAACCGGATAACCAGGGAGGAACGGAGGGGGTTTGCGCGTGATGTGCTTAATGCCCTGTGTGCCTATACCATGCATTAAAAGGGGGTGTTCATAAGGAACAGTATCAATTAATGCTACAATCTACAGTGTTTCTATTATCTAGAATAAGGATTATTGAAAGCACTCGTTCTATTTTCAATATGTGCACCAGCCCTTTGTTTCATGGAGATTCTAGAAAAGGATTCGCATGTTTGCTTCCCGATCCTGCTTTCAACCCTGCAAGCGAACACGCTTATAATGCACACACTGGGCCGTGATTTCCTCCAATTAATTGAGACCCCTAAATTCCATGCGTAATTTATCCTGTAAAACTCCCAGCTTCAGCATTGATTTTTTTAACCTGAAATGCATGTGTAAAGGCTGAACCTTCAGACTGCAGACTGTCTTTTAAAGGAAATCCTTCCTTTAACACAACCTTTTTTCCCACACCGTTATAAAAAAAAACGAGTGATGCGTCCCATTCAAATTTTGTCCATTGAGTTTGGTAAAAATTCTTTACATCAAAACTTACAGTGCGTAGAGATGCAGCATTCGACGCCACAGAAACTCGGGCAACAAAGTTGGCACGGCACGGTCAAAAAGAATAGCAGGTAAACAACATGAAAACAAATATTTATCTGCTGAAAAATTACCTTTTCTGACAAATGAAAATCCTGTATAAGAAATATATTATACCACGGGTTGAAGCACTAGGAGTCACACTTGAAATTATCGCTTATTGCCAGCTGTTCGTGGTTTCGAAGATTCATTGTGGTCCATCCTCACGCAGCTAAGAAAGGGTATGTGCACGCGCGCCATCACCGCACAATACTGAATGAGAAGAGTTCGAGCGTAGAGGGCCCTTGTCGCCCAACACCCTACCGTCCCCCTGGTTATAACTACGATCCTTGACCGAACTTGCCCCATGCTGACGCCTACGCGTACGCACGAAACGTGTGCGAGGGTATTAGACGTGATGTGCATTTTAATACCGGCGATTCACAATAGTGCGCCTCAAAGAGTTTGCAACACGTTGACCAATCACAGTGCGCGAAATGCGTCGACCCTTTCCAAACGCACATTGGGTCGACAGATTTCGCACACTCACGGTGATTGGTCAACGTGTTGCAAACTCTTGGAGGCGCACTATTGTGAATCGCCTGTATTGATGTGACGACATTATCTCTATTATGAAGAATGGAGTCCAATGTCTGATGAACAGTCTTTTACCTCACGCACGTGCGTATTTTTGCATGTGGCTACCCTCTCCCATAACCAGCCTTCAAGCCTTTATAAAGCAGCATTTTGCCGCCAAGGAAACAATTTTTTTCTAGCAGATTTTAGGAGGAGGAAGGGTTTATCTTGTGAATATTGCCCAAACGTTTTCCGTTATTTGGTAAATGAAGTTTTCTGTTGCAGATCCAGCACTCATAAGCGGTAGCAAGAATGTTTTATTGGAATACAGTTGAAGACAGCCATTTTTTGAATACTACATTAGTGTCACCTGTTAGTCTTTTGGCACAACGAACAAGAAGGTTTCAATGCGCATGAGAGCAGGCAGCTTGGTCTTTGAGTGGGTTTTTGGGTGACTGGAGAGTGTCTATGTGGAGCTTATCCCAATGTGTAAATTTTGATATT